TGGTGGACTTCAACTCCCAGAATTCCTGAGCCAACATGGGCAAGTAGGGCCTTTTTATGATTGGTGGACTTCAACTCCCAGAATTCCTGAGCCAACATGGGGAACTAGGGCCTTTTTATGACTGGTAGACTTCAATTCCCAGAATTCCTGAGCCAGCAGGGGGAACTAGGGCCTTTTTATGATTGGTGGACTTCAACTCCCAGAATTCCTGAGCCAACATGGGGAACTAGGGCCTTTTTATGACTGGTGGACTTCAACTCCCAGAATCCCTGAGCCAATATGGGGAACTATGGCCTTTTGATAACTGGTGGACTTCAACTCCCAGAATTCCTAACCCAACATGGGGAACTAGGGCCTTTTTATGACTGGTGGACTTCAACTCCCAGAATTCCTGAGCCAACATGGGGAACTAGGGCCTTTTTATGACTGGTGGACTTCAACTCCCAGAATTCCTGAGCCAACATGGGGAGGAACTAGGCCCTTTTTATGACTAGTGGACTTCAACTCCCAGAATTCCTGAGCCAACATGGGCAAGTAGAGCCTTTTTATGACTGGTGGACTTCAACTGAGCCATACTGGCTGAGGAATTCTGGGAGTTGAAGTCCACAAGTCATAAAGGGGCCATCGTTCCTCACTTCTACCCTAGGGAAAAAAATTCTCCAAATCAAACGAGCCATAAAGACTACGAAAGACGGGCTAGAGTGTCCCTATCTTTGGCTAAAGGGAAAAAAGGCCAATCCGTGGATCTCCATCCAGAAGGAACTGTTGGAGGACCGCCATCGAGCGCCAGAGGAGATGGGTGGAACCTCACCGGAGAAAAGGCTGGTGGTCAGCACTATATTCCAGACCCATCGCTCGCCACCGATCTGGCGGTAAAAGCTGCTGGACACATAACCGGAGATGCAACAAGTCAGGGCGTAGAGGAGGATGGCGGCCGAGTTGATGGCGCCGTGCCGGTGGACGTTGAACATGCCTAACAGGGCCATCACGATGATGCCAGTGCCCAAGGCCAGGAACTGGCTGCCCACGCCCAGCACGGCACACAGGAGGCTGCGGTAGGGTGGAAACCGGAAGACGTCCGTGTGGATGATCTTCCACCCATTGTCTCCTTGGTCAAAATCGTCCCCGGAGGACGACGAAGAGGCCTCCTCATCCAGGTTGTAGCGGGCCAGGTCGTTCTTTAGGACGCGCATGAGGATGACGACCACAAAGCCCACCAGCAGGAAGACCAGCACCATGGAGTTGATGATGGAGAGCCAGTGGATCTCCAAGGTGTGAGGGAAGAAACCGTCGTCCCCGCCATGGCTTCCCCGGCGTTCCCCCTGGCGCTCGGCGTTGGTCTCCGACCAATGGACGCTGTAGGTGTAAGCCACGGGCAGCACGCCCTGGATGTCGTCCAAGCTGGTGGGCTTCACGTTGCGGACGCTGACGTTGGCGTAGACGATGCGGTCGCCGTTCCACTCCAGGTAGAAGTCGAGGTGGGTCCAGAGCTTGATCTTGTGGGTGTGGGGCAGGAAGCTGCTCTCCTCCATGTAGCCCACGAAGCCGCGGAGCGGCAGGTCGTCCACCACGAACTCGAAGTAGTAGAGCTCCTCGATGGCTTGGCGGAGGCGCTCGACCTGCCGCGGGAAGGAAGGAAGAGTCAGCCCACCACGGAAAACAAGGAATGGGAGAGACCCAGCGGACTCCGGACGTCGAAGCCGCCGACTCTCTTAATTCCAAAGTATAGCGATTCGTGAGGGAGAAATCCAGAAAATGGATCGAGTCGAGGGGTGTCAAACTCGATTTCATTGAGGGCCGCATCAGGGTTGTGTTTGACCTCGTGGGGGACGGGGTGGGTGTGGCCAGCTCAACGTCACTCATGTCGGGGCATCTGTGGCGGCCAAGTGCTAAGGCAGGACGTCCCTCAGGCCCTCCCTCTAATTATAATCTTCCTTCCTTCCTCTCAGTCCTTCCTTCCTTCCTCCCTTTCCTTCCTCCCTTCCTCTCAGTCATTCCTTCCTGCCTTTACTTCCTCACTCCCTCCCTTTACTTCCTCCCTCCCTTCCTTCCTCTCAGTCCTTCCTTCCTCCCTTTCCTTCCTCCCTCCCTCCTCAGTCCTCCCTCCCTCCCTTTCCTTCTTTCCTCTCAGTCCTTCCTTCCGCCCTCCCTCCCTCCCTCTCAGTCCTTCCTTTCCTTCCTTCCTCTCAGTCCTTCCTTCCTCCCTTTACTTCCTCCCTCCCTCTCAGTCCTTCCTTCCTTCCTTCCTCTTAGTCCTTCCTTCCTCAGTCCCTCCCTCCTCTCAGTCCTTCCTTCCTTCCTCCCTTTCCTTCCTTCCTCTGTCCTTCCTCCCTCTCAATCTTTCCTTTCCTTCCTTCCTCTCAGTCCTTCCTTCCTCCCTTTACTTTCTCCCTCCCTCCCTCAGTCCTTCCTTCCTTCCTTCCTCTCTTTCTTTCTTTTTCTTTCTTTCCTTCCTTCCTTCTTTTTCCTTCCCTCTTCATTCTCCTTTCTTCGTCCTTCCCCTCTTTCCTTCTTTTTCCTTCCTCACCATCTCCTGGCCCAAGTTAGAATATAGAATAGAATAAAATTAGAATGGAATAAATTAAATAGAATTAGAATGAGAATAGAACAGTATAGAATAAGAATGAGAATTAAATAGAATAGAATGAGAATAGAATTAAACATAGAATTAGAATGAGAATATAGAATAGAATAAGAATGAGAATTAAATAGAATAGAATGAGAATAGAATTAAACATAGAATTAGAATGAGAATATAGAATAGAATAAGAATGAGAATTAAAT